CCTTTTGAACCAGCCATAAACAGTCAGTGTGACAGTTCCTGTCACAATTTACCCGGCTGGCCCCGTCGCCCCAGACTCCAGACCTCGCGAGCTACCACCACAGGACTGAGTCTGGAACAGCACAGGCATGATTACAGGGTCCTGTTCCAGTCAAAGCCAGAATCCATATGGTCAGTGCATGTGGTACTAATTATTTCACATTAATAACATGCCACCCCTGCCAACACAATATCAATAATATTATTAAAATGCAGTTGTTAAAAAGCATAAAAAAATTTTTACGTAGACATCCTTCTAGAGAGCTCTACAATTAAAAGCCCTAGTGACTTAAAACCTAGGGAGTTCCAGTCTCATCCCGACACCCTGGATTAGCTAATGGAAGGCTAAAACCTACAAAGTAACTGTGCCAGTTCCTGCTACAGACTGCGCTGAGAGACACAGCCCATGGTCCATCTGACCCAGTCTCCCAGAGTAAGAGCAGATTAGTCCTGGCCCTCACCTACCATCTACTCTAGCCAGATGCCATGATGGTAGGTGCTAAAAGCAGAAGGAAACCAATACTGGTTGAAAACCTACAACACGCCAGGTGCTTTGCTTTTCTATATATCATCTTATATGATTCTCGACAAATGTGTAGTGTCACTTGTCATTTTATAGCCAAATAAAGATGTGGAAGGGCACTAATCCATGTAACTCTCAATAAGTGGTAAGTGGTGAGGAAGCCAGACACTTCTCAGTATCTGTTTCTCAGAAATAGTAAGAATGTAGAAGAGCTAGGCGAGGCCGCTGGTTAGGCATGGCACTGTCTTACTCTTTCCTCTCTCTGCCCCACTTCATCCTGCTTTTCACCAGTTCCAGCTACAAGCTCCTTGCTACACACATTTTTAGAAAACCTGACACTGACTGGACCCCACCCGCCCCACAAGTCAGCTAACTGAAGCAGATGGACTGAAGAAGAAACCTTCCAGGAGTGCCTGTGGAGGGGAAGGCAAGGGAAGGGAGATGGACAATATAAGAAAATTTTAAAAAGTCTAAAAGAGAGATGGAGACTTAAATACAAGACAGGGGTGAGGAGTGCTGGTCACATGCAGATTCCCATCAGTGGTCAATTTTCAAAAGCAGTAATGAACATGAAGCCAAGGTCACTGGCCCCAACGAATGGTCACCGCGTGCCACCGCTGGGAATGCTATGAGGAAAAGGCACACAGTGTGTCATCGAAAGAATTTATATCCTGGGGATCAGGAGGAGGGCTAATGAACGGGACTCTTCCTTGGTAAGCATCTCGTACATGCTTTGTGAAGCATCAGATACTTTCAAAATAGTACCTCATGTAATGTAAGCCCCTCAACAACCCTCCAAGAAAGGTATTATTATCCCCTGAAGCCCGAGGACGTTTTCTGCACCAAACCCTAGACTGTGTCACAGCCTACAATCACCACTAGCTCCGCCTCCTGACGAGGCTGCACATGCACTGCCCCACAGCAGGGTGACCGGGAAGCAGCTCTCATTTCTAGGAAAGCCTGTTGTCCATTTCACTACATCAGGGGTTACACATGCATTCCAAAGGCTCAGTGGTGATGCATGTGACAAAAATTATTGCAGATACAATCTCAGAAACCTGCGGGGAAGGAATGGGGTGGGAAGGAAAAGTCACTGCAAATACCTAAAACAATATATAGAGAATGAAAAATGAAATTTAAGCCCAGATGAAAGACTTAGGTTTACAGAAAACCAGTGGTTTGTTGTTTTTTGGTTTTTTGGAAATAAGATCCTTGAGGTATTCAGTAATGAAGTTAGACAGAAGTTATCAGGAGAGGACCTGATGCTTCTGGGTGGATACAAAGGACGCCGGAAACCTGAGACACAGAGAAGCTCTGATCAAAAGGAACTCACTGCAGACACCCTAGGAGATGTTTATCATTTTAATTTTGCATGTGCTCTCAACACTGAAGGGTTTCCTGTATCTAACCAGATAGTATTGCTGAGTGAATGGTATCTTTATTTACACCCTGAGAATGAAGTCACCTAACTCCCATGACTATCCCAACTTTCATGTATTATTGATAATTCAATGAGAAAACTGCCAGTAGTACCATTCTCAGAAAAGGCATATGGAAGTAAGAAAACACATTTTCACTTGAAAATGAGCACCACTTGCTTCCTAAAAGCAGAATTAAAAAGCAGTGGTTTATTGCTAAATCTGGGTGCAAGCCCTCCCCCAATAAAATTTTTAAAGACCGCTATCAATTCAAGTCCTTTGGAATAAATCTTAGAGTTATGTTATCATTACCAGAATATTATTTGTGTTAATCTTGCTAGGTCTGAGGATATAGCTTTGGAAGGAATCTCAAAAGGCAGCGTAAATGCTGAAAAATATTCACCACTTCATATGGAAATACAACCAGTTCCAAAAGTCCATATGCTGCTCAATGAAGCTCAAGTGTAGAAACACAACGCCAGGGAAGGAAGTTTAAAAGAAACACTTCACAGACTCAGTCAAACTGTGTTCAACTGAGTGGTTTAGGTTAAAGCAAGGTAGCAGCCAGACCCACAAAAGAAGCAGAGAATGTGAAAGTTTCTAAAGAAACAAGTCTGCAAATGGAAAGGGAGAGGTGTACATGCACCTAGAAGACTGAATTAGATTTCATTTAACAAACGTTTCATGAATACTTGTAACTCATTTCAGGGACTGAGCATGTAATAGTGGCCAGTGCTACCGTGACAGGCCCATCCGAATTGCTGAGAAACACCCTGATCCTTCCCTGATCCTCTGGGAAGTCCACTAGGTATTTTTCAGACTGCAACAAAAATACCTGGTCCTCTCTCTGCTTTCCATCTGATTTCTCCATCATGATTCTATAGACAATTTCCTTAGGAAAAAGCAATTTTAAAACATCTGATAACAACCGACGTGACCTCTAGGTAGCATTCCAGTTTCACAGTTCTGTCTTCTGTGAAGTTTCATACTCAGACTTCTGACCTATTTCTTTTTTATCATGTCTGGGATTCCTTAGAGACACATTAGAAACAGAATAGGGTTAAAGAATAAACTACAAGTCGTAAACGACTGCTTAATCTTTACATATATAATATATACGCCCATATAATGTGGCAAAACTATCTTTTTCCCTAAGATTAGCAAAAACAGATTTGATCTTGTTATTTCACTAAACTACTCCCCCACACACAACAAAACTGACCCCAGTTCTTTAATTCCTAAATTCCACATCTGACACATCAGGCCTTTCTCCCAGTTTGAGCTCTCTGGGTTTCCCTCCCACTCAGGAATGCTTAATTTCTGAACACAAACTGCACTTTCACACTTGCAGACGGCTGTTGTGCTTTAACCTTCTGCCTGGAGAGAGCCTTTTCCTGCCACCCCTGTCAAATTTCCTGCCACCCCTGGTCCCTCAATGCCTGGACCAAATGGATTGTCACCAAGATACAGGTGACATAAATCTTCTCTACCAGGCTCAGCTTGAAGAGCCAACTGATAAGCACGAAGGAAATGCTGAACTGAATCAGGAACGGATCATGTTGAAGGGAAGGAATGACTACAGGGAGCATCATCTGGCATGGAACTAGACAGGCTGGTGTGTTCTTACAGATCGAACATCCCAGTTACAAAGGCTATCCTGACACTGCCTGAGCATTCACCAAACCTGTAAGGCTAAGATAAACATTCACCACTTTAAAAACTGTTCACGACAACGCGTACTCAGAAAATCAAGAAAAGACACAAGCCTCGGATCAATGCAGGATACGGGCCTACAATACTCCAAAACACTTGGGATCGCTGCCTAAATGACTGTGTTCTACTTTCTGCTCACACAAGCAGTTTAAAAATAGGAATTTATATTAAGTTTACAACAACAAACAGTGCCCACAAAGAGTCCCTTTCTGGACAGGAGTACAAAACCTGCCACTCCGCTCCGTCTGAGTGAACAATGCCTGCTGCAGGCCAGCAGTCCAAAGGCTGCTAGCACCCGGCCCCTGCTTTGAGCTCAGGAGAAAATTCCACGTGATTCTCAACAAATTTCGTGTTTAAAAAGCATCAGCTGTAAAAATGAGATGCTGGCTGATCTGATTTACGAGTCCCAGTACATTTTCATTAATAAAATAATAAAATAGGTCCCTCCAACAAGCCTTTGAAGAGGACTAGCACGGCTGTGTTCTTGTACAAACACAGGACTTTTTCCTCGTGCATTCACTCCCTAACTGCCGAGGGTTCCCAGCAGTGTAGACAAGCGTCCGCCCTCCCCCACCCTTGCTCTGGCATTCACTTTTGCCTGAAACTCCTGCCTGCAGAAAGCCAACGACCTGAGCAGCAAAGCGGCTTTCACAACGCACTGGGGGCCGGGCCTCCGAGCCCCACCAGCTCAGGCACGTTTTTTGTATTTCTGCAAGTGAAGCTCCGATTTAAAAAAAAAAAACAAACAACCCCAGCCACCCAGATCTAAAGGTTTTCGTTGAAATCCGTTTGACACCTGCTCCCTTTCCAACGCGAGCCACCTCCACAGGCCGGGGCGGCCGCCGCAGCAGGGACGGCCCCGCAGGCCGAAGTGGGTCAGGGTGACAGCGGCTCCGCCCGGGCGCCCCATTTCCACCCCTTTGTCCACAAACTTGCGCGCTAACTTCTGCTCCCCGCAGGCAGCGTGCTCGGGCCTCGGCAGCCAGCCGGCCCCGGGGCGGGCGCCCCGCGCCCCCGGACCCGCGCCCGCAGCCTCGGCTCCGCGCCGGCGCCCGCGCGGGCGGCTCGGGGTCCCCCGAGGGCCCCCGGGGTCTCTCCGCACCTGGGCGCCCCGCGGCCCCCCCGCCCCGGCCGCGCCCCCCGCGGGGTCCGGCCCCGGGTCTCGTTACATAAACCGCCGCCCCGGGCGCCCCCCGCCCCGAGCGCAGCGCCCGCCCGCGCCCCGCGCCCCGGCCCGGCCCCCGCCCGCCCGCCCGCCCGCCGGCGCGCAGGCCGCGCCGCACTAGGCCCCGCGCGGGCGCCTCTCACCGTTCTGCTGGGGCGGCGCCGGGCCCGGGCCCGCGGGCGGCGGGGCTCCCGGGGCGGCGGCCCCGCCGAGCTGGGGCGGGGGCCGGGCGCTGGCGGCCGCGCGCGGGGGCCCGGCGGGGGCCGACATGACGGCGGCGGCGGGCGGCGGCGGGCGGGGGGCGGGGCGCGCCGGAGGAAGAGGAAGGGCCGCGCCGCGTCACCGGGGGAGGCTCCGGCGCGCTCGGGCCCGCGCGCCCGCGGGGGCGGCTCGGCCGCGGGACCCCGGCCCGCCCCGCCCCGCCCGCCCGCGCGCGCCGGGAGCCGGGAGCCGGGAGCGCCGAGCGCCAAGCGCGGGGCCGCGGAGCCCCCACCCGCGCCCCCCAGGCGCCCGCACGTCCGCCCGCGCCGCCGCCGCCGCGCCCCCTGCCGGCCGCCGCCGGCGCTGCAGCCGCCCCGCGCCCCTAGGGGCGCCCCAGGGGGAGGCGAGGGCAGGCGGCGGAGGGGGGGCCGGGCCCTGCCGCGCCCGGGCCCTGAGGGCTGGGGGGGCCGTCGAGGCCGAGGGGTGAGCGCGCCGGCCCGGCTGACCCCACCCGCCCCTTCCTCCTGAGACGACTCTCTGCTCAGTGGGGGTTTTCAAGCTTGATTTTGGGGCCTCCGTGGTGGCGCAAGGGGTTAAGCATCACACTGTGAAGCGGATCGCGGCCTCTGCGGCACGAGTTCGATCCCCGGCCGCCAGGGAGCAGCCCACGTGGCGCAGCAGGCCGCATCTCTGGCCTAATAATCTTGATTTCCCACACCCTTAATATTAATTTCTCGGGGAATATGGCATCCAAGCTCCCAGTCTGGGTCCCCGAAATATAATCCAGGGCGAAGAAGTCAGAATATTTCTCTCTGATACATACATAGTCCCCTTAAGGTCCATCATTGCATTATTCAAAATGCTTCCACAGCCTTCCACCAGGGAGGGGGCAAGGGACGATGCAGTGAGGGAACTGAAAGACAGAACTTTGTCTTCCTCGTGATTTTTTGCCCAGGGTTGGCTCCTCATGCAGCTTGTTCGGAAACTGAAGGCATTCAAAGCAAGAGCTCAGCCTGCTTTGTCTACACTAGGGGCACTTTGCATCTCCGGCCTGTTCCTGCTTGCTAGCTGCTGGCAGTACGTCACCTCGTGACTACATCTCTCCCCGGGAATCAACCCCATGCTCTTTTTGTGTCTTTGGAACAAGATGTATTTGTCGAAAATCCTGAAACACAAAAGTACAAATCCAGCCAGTGAACTCATGTTACTACATGCCATTCTGAATTCCGTGTTCCCGAGCAACTTCATTTCTGATACGGAATGGGATGTTGATATTTACCAAGCACTTTTTTACTGAAAGAGCATGCAAATCAAAAATTGTTTTGTAGTCCTCGAATAATGCAAAGCTTCCCTTTAGTTGTTGCCCCAAATTAACGATACTCGATGCTTTCGCACCAAGTGAACTACAAATGGGGCTTCACTTGTTGGATTTGTACTTTTGAGTTTTGGGATTTCAACAACACATCTCGCTCCATAAACACGGAAAGGGCAAAGCCTTTTCCACGGGGTTTCCAGCTTCTCCACAGAAACCTACATCAGACTGGAGCAAAAGGTCACAATTTCCTGCTCCAATTTCAGGTACCAACACTTCCGGGGAAGATTGAAAAATGGTTCAGTAAAAAGCTCTGGATTAAGGGCGACTGTTCAGTGGATGAGGATTGCCAATGTGGTTGGCTTTCTGCCCCTGGAATATACTTTCCTGGGTGAAAAAAGCCCTTTTTAATCAGAGGTAAATGGGTCTGTGCGAGACTTCTAAAAAGGAGCCCCAGGAGCTTATGTTTTAAATATCTTTATCGCCCACACTACTTCCACTTGTCCATTGCCTATAGAGTTCCAGTAATCTTACTAAAAATCATCAACCTGTAAATAGATCTAAGCAAGGTTTTATTTAGCTCCAGTATCTTTCTGGTATTCACTACAAACTATTCTGAGTTAATTTACTCTGCTAATGATGTTACGTACTATTTTACTAGTCAAAGGATTTCAGTTTTACATATTGAATGTTTGAAAAGCAAATTCTCAGGTCCCACCCAGACTCACTGAAATCTGGAGCTTGACCCACCTTCCAGGTCTCCTGGGGATTCTAATGCACAGGAGAATTTGAGAACCACTGCGTTTGAATAGCAAAACTAAACTGAATTGGTTCAGGCCTCTTCACAGCGAGAGATAATGGTCCCATTCTTTGGGACACCTCTCCAATCTTTAGCCAATCATTAAACGTTATAGTTTGTGGATGTGTGAGGACAGAAACAGGATGCCAAATGTGGTAGTGTCCTTGTTAATTTCTGTCGTACAAGGGACAGGTTGAGGCAGGTGCTTAAGCCAAGTCTTGCGTTTCTGGGGAAGAGAGCAAAACGTGAAATCAAGCCTGGCCATAGTCGCAGGAGGACAGTTTTTGTGGCTTGCCCAGTTCTGACCTGACTGCCACTCTTTGTTACCCTCCAGCTTGGGCCTCTGTAACAGCAGCTGTGGGAGCTGACCACTTATCTCTTATCTCCAAACAGGATTGCCCAGTTCTTTATTGCAGCCTGGCTTCCCGTCCTCCTCAGCCAGTCTTTTCATCCCCAGTTTTACAGTCACATTTGGCCTTTGCAAGCACCTTTCCTCTTTAGTGGCATTCCTTTCTTAATAGGAAGAGATACTTTTTTTATCCTCCTTTATCTGATCTGCTTATACACATACTGCATTTGTTGTAGGCCAGGTGTTAGGACTATAATAAAGATGAATAAGAGAAAATCTGGCTCCAAGAATCCTGTGTAGGCAATACCAACATATGGAGACCACCTAAGTTGCTAATGAGAAAGAAGCTGTGGTGTATATATACCACGGAACATGACTCAGCCATATGTATACTGAAAAAAGATGCAATGGTGTCATTTGTGACAGTGTCACACTGGATGGACCTTAAGGGGATTATGCTAAGTGAAATAAGTCAGATGGAAAAAGACAACCCCTTCCATACAATTTCACTAATGGTTAAAATATAAAGCAAAGCAAACAAGACCAAATGCTTTGACTCTGACAACAGAATGGTGGTTACCAGAAGGGACTGTGGGGAAGGTAGAATAGAGAGAAGGGGGTGGTTTGGATGGTGGTGGATGGGAACTAGACCCTTAGTGATGGGGGTGAAGCCATAGACACCTGAAACTTACACTGTGCTGTAAATTAATACTACCTCAATTTTAAAAAATGCTGTGTAATATCTTTTACATATATATTTTTTTAAAGATTTATTTTTATTTATTTATACAAGCACTGGGTACAGTCAGAAGCGCAGGAGGGTGAGAGAATTCACCAGAGCCAGAACGGGGAGCAGAGCAGGCAGAAGGACCGAAGGACACTGCTGAGGGGAGCAGTGGGCGGCAGGAGAGGTCTGCGCGCCATGTGGGACCCTCCTCCAGTGGCCGGGGAGCAGCCGGGAATCGAACCAGTGCTGCAGAGGCTGCGGGCAGCTTCGCAAGCCAGCGCTCAACCGCTGCGCCACCGGGGAGGCCCTTTTTACATATATTTCTACTGTCTTCCTTAGGTTTAGTTTTCTTAATTCTTTCCCTCATATTTGCTATTATTTTTCCTACTGTTCCTGTGTTTTATTTCATTGTGGCATTATAGGTTGAGTTTCCCCTACTCATTTTGATGGGAAAGGATCGTGTGTCACTGCTACTAGCTGCATAATCCCATAGAGCCAACCCACGCACTCATGGCAAATTCTCTCAAGTTCTCACTTAAAATACTTGGCTCTTGTTTTAGATTTATTGGGATCTTGTAGTTATCTACTTACCCAGCCCACAATAGGTTACAAACAACGAATTTCAAGGCAAGGAAAGGCAGTGCTGTTGATACAGGCAGTGTTGAGAGCAGCAAGCAACAGCAGTTGGCAGAGTAAGTACAGGAAAGACAAGAAAATTCGAAAACCGGAAGAACTGAAAATGCACAGCAGTCCAAGGCAATTAGTTAAATCAAACAACCCAATATTCCCCTGGGACTGTGATAGACAGAGCCCACAGGTCTCTGCCAGCTGAGACTTTCTACCATGATATTCTGAATGGAGTTGAATAATAGGAACCCTCATTTACTGAGCACCTACTATGTAACTTGAAAAAGCTGAGACATAAAAAGATACAGCATACTCTGCACTCTAACGTGTGTTGATATGTATATGTAATATACTCTACACTCTGTTTCAGAAAACAGGGATAAACCTCCCATTTTTGAACCTTAGAAACTGTTTTACATATGCACAGATTAGAGCCCCCAAAGCCCGGCTATTAGAGTCCCTAACTTCCAACCCCCACAAGTGCAGAGCAAGCAGTGTGCTCTCCTCAGGCCATCAATGTATTTCCACCAAACCAAAGAGAAGCCAGTTCTTCGAAGCTTTCTGACCAAGCTTATGCTTCTCTTTATTTGTAGATACAAGCTGTAAAGTGGTGCCTCTCAAACTTTACTGTGCAGATGACTTACTTGGGATCTTGTTAAGATGCAGTTTCTAGTCTGGTGGGTTTGGGAAGCCCTGAGATTCTGCTTTTCTAACTAGCACCCAGGGGATGCGGATGCTGATGGTTGAGGGACCACACTTTGAGTAGCAAGTTTCCAAGGGGCATCTTTTTCATTTACCTTTGAAAGACCATTGAGGTAAGAAAAGCCCCTCCTTGAAGGCACTAAGGGGACTACTCAGCAGCTGCAGTGACTTGCACCTGCCTGGATCCTGCTGTCGATGCGCTGATTACAATGGGGTCTCATCGTGACTGGCAGCTTCCATAGACCACTGAGGTTGGTGGTCAGTGAGGTTGAGTGGATGCCCACATTGACATCGATCACCTTGCCACCCACTCAGTGGCATCCCCATTTTGTCATTTACTTTTTTCCTTGTTGATTATTGTTCGCTCTAGAAAAATGGTGTATGAGCTTGGGCTGCCACAACAAAGTTCCATAGATTTGCGAGTTTGAACAACACAAATGTATTTTCTCATAGTTCTGGAGGCTGGAAGTGTGGTCACTGATGGCCTCCCTTACCTTTAATCACCTCCGTAAAGGCCCTACCCATACAGACACAAGGGCATGGTAGGATTTCAACATATGAATTTCGGGGAGACATAATACAGTCTACAGCAAATGGCACTTTTGCAACGGCATGACTCAAATCTTTGTCCTTAAGACTTTTTCCTACTTTCAAGTGGTTTGTCCCATTTCACTATTATGAGTTTCCTTGTTTATTGACTTATTTATTGAGGAATTTCCATGTTTAAATCTCTGCTTCTATTCTCATCTTCTTGAAATTATTCTTTTTCAAAACAACCTTCACAACTCTCACTGACATAAATGTTGGGATTGATATTTATGAAATCATTTTGAAAAAGGTAAGCGCATTATAGGTTCCATATCAATAGTAAGCGGGCCAGCTCAGAACTTCCCACTCAGTACAGAGGCACATACTGTGGGCTGCAGTGCATTGCAAGATGAGTCAAAATCTCATTCCTTCCCAGACTTGGGGACAGTTGAGGATGCCTCAGGTGGCATTTTCTAGCCAGTGCTGTGACATGAAGGGCCAGGTGGCGCTGCCTACACTGACGTTACTGTGCATAATCAATAGCGCCACCGTCTGGAAGCAGGCGAGCTGGCATAGTGTTGCTCTGGAAAGCAGATTTATTTTAATTTAATTTACTGCGGTGACATTGGTTACTACCTCAGTAACGTCTAATTAAAAATAAGATATTATCAGCATACTAGTGAGTAGGAGTGGAGGACATACTTTTTAAAAAACATGGCAAGATGTTTGAAAAGCTTACCTTGCCAAAAACATCAAGGAATTGGGGAAGATAGACTAGAGAAGATAAGACCATGGGAAAATGATCAACTCCCTACACACTGGAAAGCGGTCTTCTGTAGCGTGGAAAGAGACACACCAAGGATAAATGAATTGAAGTTGAATATATGCCATACGTTCAAGCACATAGGTATGACACGAACCCCTAAAAGGTACTCCCACTTTGGGAGGGAAGTTCAAGGACATGTGATCTCCGCTTCTCCCAGTTCCACATACCATAACATGTCATTCTATTTGTCACTTTGATTTTCATTTATCTCAATATTTTCAGCAATGACAGATATTTAATATCTTTAAAGTCTTTAAAGGCACATACAATATAATTTAAATCTCTGTCAGGGGCTGAACTAGGTTCCCTCATAATTCAATATGTTGGAGTCCTAACCCCCAAATTCCTTCCAGTGTGACTGTATCTGGAGATGGGACCTTCAAAGAGGTGATTAAGGTAAAACATGGCCATATGGGTGGGCTCTAATCTGCTATGACTAGTGTTCCTGCAGAAGAGATCAGGACACAGACATGCAGGCACAGAGAAAGCCCAAGAGAGCACACAGGAGAAGGGCAGCCATCTGCAAGCCCCGGACAGAGGCCTCGGAAGAAACCAAATCTTGAACACCTTGATCTTAGACTTCTAACCTCCAGAACTGCGAGAAAATATACTTCATTGCGTGGACCACTGGTCTGTGGTATTTTGTTAGGGCAGCCCTAACAAACTAATACCATGTCCCTCACATTCCTCTGTATTATGTTCAAGGATTGAAATAGATTTTTTTGATTTACCATTTCTTTCAGAAAGCTTTTTTTTTCTGATAACTTTTTCTTCACTAATAAAAAGTAGAAGTCAAGCTTCTCTACAGAGTTGCTATTAACACACAAAAACAAATCTTTATCAAACTTCAGCATTCTGAGATTATGGGGTCTGAGCTACAGGAAGCTTGGCATGGGGAAAGGTTTTTTTTTTTTTTTTCACACAGGAATTTGTCCTGTGAGATTTTCTCCTTTTAAATATATAATGGGGATGAATGTTATTCCCCAGAAATTTTCTATGAGAAAAAATATCTCTTGGGGGAAAATAACCAGGAAGAGTAAAATCTATATTCGAGGGATTTCACATTTTCTTACCAGAAAAGCAGAGCTGGGAGGCCTCTAGCTGTTTCCCACGTGTGGCTGGTGTGCAGGGCAGGAGAACCGAAGGCTCCTCACTTCACTCCGCATGGGAAGAAAGCAGCAAACTGAGAGGAAGCAAAACGGTGAGACTTCAACATGGAGGGACTGGGGGATTGACAGAGGAGAAATTTAGCTGTAGTGAGCAGGGAATTTTGAAGATAGGGGAGATGTGTAGGGGTATTGCAGGAAGCTTTACTTTCTATTTTCTCTCATTTGCCTTAGAGGCGGAAAGTATATTACCTCCAGCTTATTGTGGAATATCACTTTTCATTCTATCCACTCCATTCTACTGCCAACAAGCTTAACAAAGCCCATTGCTGAATACTTTTAGACAAACATCTTAGCAAACTTTACCCAGGCAGTGGTGTTCAGTGTTGTTTTGTTTTGTTTCATTAAAAAATAACCAGAGCAGCACTCCCTCTGCTCACCTGTGCACGTGCTTCCTTTCACCAACTCTCTCCTGCCGGGCAGCAGCTTCCTGCCTGCCCGTGACCTGTACCGTGCCAGGACTTCTCTTTACTGACCTCCCTCAGTGGAGACAGCTCTCCTCAAGGCCGCCCGCCTGCAGCCACGCAGGCCTCTCTTAGCAAACCTATCCCTTTCGGGGCAGCTCTTCCTGCCCGCTGGTGCCTATGCAAGTGCCCTTTACTCTTCTGTCTCTTTCCCCAATAAACCTGCTATTTAAATATAAAAATTTTTTTTAAAAAAACAGAAAATGTAATCGAGTTAGATTACTAACATTTTGCCACCAACACGTATTTCTAAAAGTTTTTTTGTTTTGTTTTGTTTTGTTTTTTTGTAATTCAGGCTTTTAAAAAAGTCCATTGTCTCAGGCTAGAAAATACAAGAAGCCCTCTTCCATTTAACACTTAGGTTTAAAAACAGACTGGAATCAAAACAAGGGAGAGAAGAGCACAAGGGACTGTGGTGATCGTTCATGGATTAATTGGTGGTGGGAATTTTATGGGGGATACACCTGAAAGGAGAAAGCATACAAGCATGCACTGTACAAAAATGAACAATGATGTGAAAAATATGTATATAAATAAAAAAATTTAAACATAAAATAAAAACAGATCAGAAAACCTCCCTTCCCTCTATGGAATGAGTCTCCGCCTTTGGGGTATAGCCCACATCCATGGGCGTGTATCGCCACCTGGTGGACAACATTAGAGGTGCTTCAACCCAAGGACACTGGTTTGTGGAGACTGAAAATTTGCCTTAGTGCAATTAATCTGAAAGGAATGTACAGGAAAATAAATATTACATAGATGAAAGATAGTCTGTTTCTTGGTAATTCCCAAAGGGTGTTATTTTTAAGTATTGGATTATAAGCTAGAATGCAATGGAACCAAAATAAAATATTATTTAATTCAGCTAGCATCCTACAACCTGTATTCTACAGCATATAACACATCATAAAAAGCCTAGCACCAGGGACCACCGTAAATAAAGATGCCTGCCCAGCAGCTTCATCAGAAAGACTGGGAGTTCCATGCCATATCTACACCAGTTCTATGTCTACAATCCCCTTTCTACAGGAAAACGTCAACATTTGGATCTACCTTCTGAGAAGTCCGCCCTATTTCTTTTAACTTTAAAATGCAGACAATCCTTTTGGATATGACATGTCTCTAAAATGTTAGGGTGGGGATGTGGTTGGGGAACGCGTGTTACTGAGAATAGCAATCAAGTCACTAGTAGTCCCAGAACTCCATCGTGGTTATGTGGCATGGGGCGTTAGGTGGGCTGTGAGGCCCTTTTTGGGTAATGAATTGTGAATTAAAAATTTGGAGGTCCAGGGGCCTCCCCGGTGGCACAGCGGGTTGAGTGCAGTGCTGGGAAACTGTCTGCACCTCTGCAGTATGGTTTCGATTCCCAGCCGGCCAGGGAGATACCCTCATGGAGCAGTAGATCTCTCCTGTTGCACCTGCTGCTCCCCTCAGCAGTGTTTTTGGTCCATCTGCCTGTTCTGCTCACTGCTCTGTCTCTGGTGAATTCTCTCACTCTCCCATGCCTCTGGCCTGTACCCCAGTTCTTGTATAAATAAATAAGTCTTAAAAAAAAGTTGAAAATCTGTATGATTTTAGGATAGTGGTTAAGAGCTGACAACAGGCTTCAGAATAGGTTGGAATATTCGGGGTTTTTTTCTTTATATATAATCTCAGCCATTTTTTATTAGTAAAACAAGTGAGATGTTGAATATACATCTTGCCCAATATCCTCATCCCCTATAATACATTTATGACAAGTGTATGAGATGTGTTAAAATATAATTTTCTTCATACTTACTAGAACTTGTTCAGCTTTGTAAATAAATGCTACCTTCAGCATGGTCAATTTGGGTGATGACTCACTCACACCAGAAATGAAAAGCTTCCATGTATCCCCAGCCCTAAAGCCTTCCCCTGGGTCCAGCCTTCAGCAATCTCTAGGCCGCTGCTGTGCAGTGCCTGAGAGGTGCCAGCGCCAGAGGCGGTAGTAAGGAGACTGGTGTGAAGAAAAGAACAACAGGACCAAAAGGGAGTCTTTTATGCCAAGCCCCACGAAAACTTACTACCTAACATAGTGCAGTTTGTCTCTCCCCAAAGTGGAACTTTAAACCAGATGGCCTGGAGTTTCTTGGTTAGCACTTGTGAAATCATCTGCACAACAATAACCTTTCCCCAAGGAATGGTGACCTGCCCTGAAACAATCTTTTGCCAATAATACAGCCCTCTGCCTTGCTGACTATAAAACCTTCCATTGTGTACCAATTCCTGAGGGCACCCTTCTACTGGCTGGGGGTGGGGGTCTGGGATGCTGTCCATTCAACGATCCTTTACTAAGGCAATTAAGCCTCTAAGTTAACATGGATGAATTTTTTTCTCACTATGAGTTCTACGCCCTTCATGTCTACCACATCACATTGAACCTGGCCCCACCCTACTGACATTGGCTAGTTGACATTAAATTTAGGGGTGACCCTATAGATGTACGGAAGGATTCTCCTCCTACACAGACCTGATCTTTCTTTAAACAATGGCCTGGTGGCATGGTCCAGTGGATCATGTATTTGGTTCCTTTTCTCTAGAGTCATTTAGTTTCTATTCCTTCTTCACCTCTCTTCCTGTAATTATAAAGATAGCACTTAGCCATGTCTTGGCAGCTGGAATCGGAATAGGCAATACTGGGCCCAAAATAGGTAAATCAGAGTCCCTTCATTTTGGGTTTCGGTGTGAATAAAATAATCCAACCTCAGTTTGGAATCTCTTGAATGGAGAAGCTATGGAAGGCTGGTCTACGGGGATTCTTGCCAACGGTTGTGATTCCATCACTGTGGCCAGGGCGGTAAGAAAAGGAGAAGGATGAATGAACGAAGAAAGGATGACTATGCTTGTCAGTACCGAAGCCTGAAGCACAGGGTGACACTGACTGCTCCTGCCAGTGATCACAGGCTTCAGCCCATTCCGTTCCAGAGTATTTATTCCTGTTTCTTAGAGTCAACTGAGTTATAGAAGGAAATGTTTTCAAAACCAGTTGATAAGCCAAGCACAAAATCAGTTTTGTTATAAAATATAATTGCCTTGGATGAATTTGGTGACATTTCAGACAGCAAGTTTTCATAGCATGTGATTGATCATGGTTTGCTACTGAACAATGATTGACATTAAACTTTCCTGTTTAAGTCACTGGTGTGGTTTTTATCTCCTGACTGGACCTTGGCTGATAGGATGGGGAACACAGGGGTAGTTTGGAATGATGTCACAAAAAGGCCAAAACATGACATAAAACAATTAAGTAATTTGACTTTATGAAAATTAAAGATTTCTCTTCTTTAAAGGACACTATTAAGACAATTTGGTGGCGGGAGTATTACTGTGGCTATTCCTGAAGAACAATCCTATACTGTCAAAACCCTAGTAAGGATGGTACTTCAATAACAATGAAAAAAGAAGAAAGAAAATTAAAAGGCAAGATTGAATAGGAAATCATTGCAACTCCCATATCTGACAAAGGACTGGTGTACAGAATATGTAAGTATCTCTAGGAGTGTGCACTGGTTTGCTAACGGCTGCTGTAACAAAATGCCATGGGTTGGGTGGCTTCAACACGGGAAAGGTATTTTCTCACCATTCTGGAGGTTGTAAGTCCAAGATCAGAATGATGGCAGGTTGGGGTTCTTGGAAGCCTCCGTCCTCAGCTTCTCTTCTGTGTGCTCATGTGATCTTTCTTCTAGGCATGCATTTCTGTGTTCTAATCTGCTCTTATCAAGACCACTACTATTCTGGCGTGGACAGAGCATTTTCTCTGCTGCAAGAGTCCCCCTCCTCCTATTGCAGTAACTTTTAAACCCAGACTCTCCTTACCTATGTTCAGATTAGTTTTTACTGGATATTTCCTTCCTGTCTACTATGTGTTCAGCAGCAGGTCAATCTAGTAAACATAGCCACTGACAAGCTAGCAAGTAGTACATTGGGCGCAACATAATTTTTTCCTAATCTGTGCAAAATAAAAACACAGGTGCCATGTTCAAAAGAGCAAGGGAAAAGTGGTACTAGAGGCTCCAAAAAGGTTTTGTATTTTCTTGCCTGGTCTCTTTCAATGTATGATGGTTTTTAAATTTTAATGTCGGGCCTCCCCTGGTGGTGCAGCGGTTGAGCGCTGGGCTGAGAGGCTGCCTGCAGCCTCTGCAGCGCCAGTTTGTTCCCTGGATGCCTGTGAGGGTCCCACAAAAAAAAATAAAATAAAATAAAAAATAAAATTTAATGTCATTCTAAATAAAGATAAAAACGTTTCATTATTGCTTTGAAATTTACCATTTATCTTTGTATTACATAATACCAGCTTAGATAAATAGAAGAGCACTTAATTTGTGGACTCACCAAAATAACATTATTAGTGCTTCTTAGCCTGCACATGAATATGTATTTTGTTCTTAACAGAAAAGTGGAAATGAGGGATAAGGCACCTCAATTCTCTTTCACTCATTTGTATGTGCACATCCTACTTTCAGCATCCTGGTGAACAAGGGAGGATAAAAGAAGCAAGAACTATGGGTTCCCCTGTATACCCCCCTCCTTCC